AAGTCTTTTAATGCTGTGGCCGAGCGCTTGGTAAGTGATTGTCTCAACTTACTTTCTGGGCACAAGCCATGTTTGAAAGACAAAACAGCCATCTGTTCACTACACACATTTTCCTCTAGATTGTTGTATTCTTCCCAGTACCTCCTAGCATAATTGCGCGGCATTTCCTCCTACTCCTTTCGAAGGCCAAACAGTGTATCCGGCTCTTTCGGAATCTTAGTGTTGGAGACGAACTTGGTTAGGAACTCTTCGGAGAGTTACTTCCAGCCACGAATCGATCCAGCGGGGAGTCGATCGAACCATCAAAGTTCGGTCTCTCCCAAGCTGGATGGGAAGACTTTGCACATCAGTGCCTCATCTCGGCTCCATAGAGACATCATTTGTCTGTAATGGCTAATATGCGTCAGCGGGTCTGACTTTCCATTGTATGAAGTGAACTTTGGTGGGGTGAATTTCTTTGGAGGCCTTATGGCTTCAATTTCTGGGGAGAATGGTGAGGAGACGAGCCTATCCAGCGCTCGGTGTTCTCTCTGGTGAATAGTACCGTCCAAGTGATCCCGATGTTGTTCGTTCTGTTTGTTGCCGATCAACCAAGTACGAAGGTCTTGTGGGGGGTACTCAGTTTGCTGACTGACCGTCTTCTGCCTCTTAGCCCTTCTCCGGCGTGACCCACGGGTATGGCTGCTTGCCGCTTCACTCTGTACCGGGATAGGTTGGCTTCGTTGCCCAGACTCATTTCTGGGGAATTTTTTCACTGGTGGCTCTCTGGATGAGCTCCTTCGTTGCAGACGAGAGGGTTCTGCTTCCGTCTTTTTTTCCGTTGGATCACCCAACACCCTTTTAAGTTGGGCTTTCAGCTTCTGTATCTCCATCCCCATGGAGTCTATGATTCGATCTCTATAATCCTTTTCCAGAAGAAAGTGATGAGAAGAACCTCCAGCGAAGGGTAATCGATGCTCGACGGATTCAGGAGTCCAGTTATTGTTTCTAGTTTGTTCTTCCAGAACAGTTAGGAGTGCCAAACCATTGTCCTTCGTCTTCTCCGTCTGTAGAGTATGTGTTAAAGACAAAACGTCCTCAATCCCCATCGTCGGAACTGAGTGCAGAGCTTAGAAATGAAGTGATCCATGCTCACCGCACCAATTGTGCGTACCGGATTCCGCACTAGATGAAAGTGGATCGGGGCCCCGCACTCGGTTGGACTATCCAGGGACTGAGGTTCCTGCCACAAGAAGCACCATTAGAGCTGCCCGGCTGGGGTTGGTCGGATAACCCCTCCAGTGTGGGAATTAGTGATCGGAGAAGAAGTGTATATAGAGTTGAGTCTATCTCTAAGTGTGATTTTGCTTGGAATAGTTCAGTTACCTTCAATGTGAAGTTCATGTAGTATATATAAGGTTCCTTGCTTGCTTCTCAAGATGGTTTCATGGAGCTTGGATGCTGCCAAGTGTCCTTTTTGCATTGCTTAAGGTGGGGGACCACCTGGTAGTTATCATTGAATGCATATACTCATTGTAGTCATGCTGATAACAAACCACATTCCTCTGGTTTTAACTGTTTCCGTGATTCTAAGGGGAGGGGACCAGCTGAGGTGGCATCCTCTATGTGCATGCATTCATAGCTTCCACGTTTCTCTAAGGGATTTCCTCTGTTCAGTACCGTTGCGCCTCGGCTCGGTACCGATGTGCCTCGGCTCGGCCTTTTACAAGATCATTTATAGAGGTGGGTTGGTCCATTCGGATATCTTTGTACGGGCTCGGCCCACTTTAGTTCGGCTCATAGATTGGGTCTTGCAGCTCGACTTAGCCCAGCATCGCGGTTGGACTAGCCTTTCCACTACGAGTTGGGCCTAAGTGCTTGAGGACTTGGGTAGACTGTTGATCATGGAGTTGGGCTTAATTGGCTTGCCCATATATTCATCTAATCCATTTGAACTTGGGCTTTATTGGATTGGCCGGCCCAAGGCTCGGATCCGACCCATTTCATATTCAGCCCCTTCAATCACCTTGTATTCAGTATTAATTAACCGTTACTAATTGATGGCTAAATTTTTTTCTATTATCCAAATCTAATGATTAGAAATAGTTTTTGATATGTTATCCACCTTTTTATTTTTTTTTATCAAATAAAAATCTGCAATTGAAATTAGAGATTTTCACCATCTCGTCTCAAGTTATTTTACATATATAGAATAAACCACATAATCAAAGAAAATATTATTAAGTGCACTATAAAAAGGTGCATATGGTAATTTTTTTCAAAACATTACAAAAAAAACAAGCAAATTGGATATCTATGTAGCCTTATAATAAGAGCACATTTGTTTTTCAAAAAAAAAAAAAAAAAAAAAAAACGGTTAATATGATTTTAATAATTTTTTAAAAACAATTAGGACTTGATCATGGGGTTACAGATGTCCGATTAACTTGATTTTTTATATGGATGATATATTTGACAAACCTTATAATATAAACGATTCAAATCATCAAAATATAGCCAAAAAAATACTTTTACGGTACCTCACAAGTTCTTTCTTAGAAACCATATCCACCTTTGCTTATTTTATTCAAAAAGTTGGAATGAAAAGAAAATTAAAATGATTTTGATTAAGATTCAGTAGGGTTGGAATGCAGAAAAGATTGACAGATTCACATTATAATTTTTTGTCATTTTCATAAGGTACAAGTGTCTTTTGTGTATCATGTTAAGTCTTTGTATACTTACACAAAAATTCATATATAGTACAATTATTCTTTCACTATTCCACTAAAATGTAATTACCACGATTTTGTTTCTATTGAAAGTTAAGTTTTGGAAAAAGTGAAACAGATACTTGTCATACTGCAATTACGGTATAGTTCACTTACATTACTATCTACACATAGATTAATTGATAACAACAAAAATTGTAAATGTAACAAATTAATTTGACAATCAATCTTGCTACGTACCGTAATGACTATGTAAGATGGTATATGTGGGAGGCAAAATCCAAGCTAGAAGTCACATGATGTTTATTGGGGCTGATTAGGGTTAAAAAGGAGAGTCAGACTAGAAGGTCAAGTTAAGAAGTTGAGCTAGAGATAGCTCGTCACCGAGCTAGATTTAATTTCAAACCAACAGTCCGAGGGGCTTTAACCAAGTCCACACTTATTCCACCCAGCATGGATTTATCTACTCATAAAAATTTGCAAATGTGAGACACAATTCCCTAAAAAGTGGAACAGAATGGGGAAGTTATAGGGATCACTCAACCGCCTCCAACGGTTGGAAATGGAGCCCATATAAGCAAGACACCTAAACCCAAAAGGCACACAACAACGGATACTTAAGCTCTTACTTTGTGATACTTATTTTCATTATTGACTTAGGTATGAGAGAGTCCTCTGACTACTTATCAGCCAATATTATTTTTTTGAGTTTTTTTTAGGTGATCCAACCTTCAAGTTAGATCAATCTGACGCCATTATAAGTGGTGATAAGTTTTTCTCCACACAATATAATACCTTGTATTATTTGTTTTGTGGTGATATATATATATATATATATTTATATATTTGACTCAACTTCCACCATAAAAGCATAGGAAATTTACTTCTTCTATGCAAAAGATTAGCACAAGCAAATCAAAATAAAAATGGCATTAATTTCGACGATGATCCCATTACTTGAAATTTCCTCCAAGGCTACATTTTTAGAGTCATTATTAATCAATAGGTCATGAAAGTCTTAGACGTGTGCAATGGGATATAAAAAATTGTATAATCAATAATATTACATTTGTCATCTTTTTATACTACATTCCGTATACTATTTCATATAATACAATCATAATCATTGGATATTAATACAACTTACATGGAATCCATTACAATAATGGTTGTGATTGAGGTACATAAGAGGGTATCAAATGTTATATAAGAAGATAGTAGAAGTGTAACATTTGCTATTTAATTAGTAAGGTATGAGTTTAATCAAATTTAATTTAGAATTTGTAACACTTGACTAATAACATAAACAATAAGTGATTGGTCTATTTAGGTTGTGTTCGGTATATGGATTTAGGTAGGAATTTGAAAAGAGAAAAGAAAAATGTGGGTGAAGTATAATTACATTTCACACATTTTTTCCCTTTTTCTTTTCAAATTCCTACAAAAATCCATAAACCAAACACAACTCTATGAATAATGAGTGGATGGTAATTTTTGCCAAACATGACATAATCTCAATCTTAAAGAAAAACATTTCTAATTTGTAATTTCAAACTTTCTCATGTCCTAAACATTAGTTTCTCTATTTTAAATCCAGAAGCAGCTAGCTAGTCACACATGCCAAAGTAATTGTCAATCAAAGAATTGAAACAGATTTCTTATATATGTATTGTATCTTTTCAATTTTTTGATATCCATTGAACTTTTTCATAAATCCAAATTATTTCAATGTATAAAGCGAAATGCTATACTTACCAAAAACCTTACAAACTTTGCTTCCAAATTATATATATATATATATATGTTTTCTAGGACCCTCTATATGTTTTCATAGCAATATTTCCAAGCAACATGAAATGAAATGAAAACAAGTAACCAATAATGCTTACTATGTTTCCATTTATTCATTCATAAGCAACACAAAGCTAGCACTATTGCAACATTTGCCATACTTGTCCATGGAAACAAACCATAGCTAATATAATACAAAAGGCCTAATAGCTTGTATAACGAATCAGAAAACAACATTTGCTATACTTGTCCATGGAAACAAACCATGGCTATCAATACAGAAGGCATAATATCTTGCAAAGAGAATCAGAAACAAAATAGTAACTAGAATACATACCCTCCTCAATCAAATAGAGCCACCTTTGTCTCCAATACGGGTTGATGTAAAGAATAATAGCAAATACAAACAAGAAAGTGATGTATGTTCCGATAGAACTTGTAAAAAAAATGCCACTAGATCGATATCATACCATTTCCCCTCAGTTTCATCTAAGGATACTATTGTGGCAAGTGTGGTGAGTCAACAATGGCTGTACAATTTTTCTCCAATGGCGATCCACAAAGAAATGGATTTCCCTCATAACTACTCGCTTCAAAAGTCCCAAATTGTGCTTTCCTATCTAACATTTTACCTGATAAATTGCTGTGAGCCACAGTGAACACTTCCAAAAAATTTAGATTGATTAATTCTATTGGGATGTTTCCACTCAAATCGTTGTAAAAAAGGTCCAAACTCTTTATTTGGGCAAGGTTTGAGAAGGTCTTCGGGATGGGTCCAATCAAGAGATTGTGAGACAAGTTCAGTTCACGAACACTACTTAACTTCCCTAGTTCAAAAGGTATTTCACCTGTTAGTTTGTTACATGACAAATCCAATCCAGACATGAAGTTAAGGATGCTGCCAGCCCGGTAGGAGTTAGTCCTACTCTTAGTAATAAACTCAACTTCATCTACTTTATCATATGTGCCATCGGGGCCACCAATCTCAAAGACCATATCTAGATGTGGAAGTAGGACATTTTCATACACATAGAAGATATGCCTAGTGCTGTAAAATTCTAAAGGTGTTTGAGCGAAAGCAAGATCAGTAGCCCCTATTGCCCCAAATGTGATATTACTTAAACAACTTGGTATAGACCCCGTAAAAGAGTTTTTGGAAAGATCCATCAAGCTTATCTTATTCAGTTGGCACAGTTGTGTTGGAATGGAACCACCCAATTGGTTTCCTCTCAATATAAGAATGCTAAGGTTGGCAAGCAACCTAATGGACAGGGGAATCCTGCCAGACAAGTTGTTGTCACTGACATCCAATGTCACAAGTTTTGATAAATTAATAAGAGCTTCTGGAATGAATTTCGTAAAATGGTTCCCTTGCAAATGCACATGCTCCAGGACTCCCAAGTTTGGGTTTGAGCAAGAAGTAAGTGTTCCCGAAAATGAGTTATGAGAGATGTCCATAAACACATTTGGAATCAGTGCACATGGGAACTGACCATTAAATGCATTATTTCGCATGATCAATGTTCTCAAACGTATCATGTTATTCATCGAATCTAGAATCTTACCTGACATGTTGTTGTTGCTAATATCCAACATAGAAAGTTTAGACAAATTGAAGACCACATTTGTCAGAGGCCCTGTGAACTGATTATCGTTCAATCGTAAATACTCTATCTGAGTCAATTTGAAGTCATCTGAAAACATTTGGCCATGAAATTTGTTATTTGATAACGCTAAAGAACGTAGAGATCTGCAATTTCTGACTAACTGCTTCGGTACTTCTCCTGAAAGATTATTACTGGATAAATCTAGAACCTCCAAAATTCTCATCTTACCAATTGAGGATGGGATACTACCTCCAAAAGCATTCCTGGATAGGTTTATGTGTATAAGATATGGAACCATCTCCCCCATATTAAGTTGAATATGCCCAATTAATTGATTGTCTGAAACATCCATCCAACAAGTATAAGAATTGTAATATGGCGACAAATGAAATTCACCAACAAAAGAGTTATTCCGCAGACTTAAATATTCCAGTTTCGTATTGTTCACAAGTAGCCAGTTTGGGAATGAACCTTCCAAGTTGTTGTGGGAGAGATCAATAAAACTTAGTGTGTTCTGGTGAAGAAGAAACTTCGGAAAATCACCAGAGCGCTTGTTCAGATTACAGTTTGGTAGCACAAAGACCTTCAACTGAAACATGGGTAACCAATCTTTATATTCAGTTTCCACCTCAAATTTGTCATTATCACTTGTAATTGCAACCACCTCAAGCTTGGAATGGTTCACAAATGAGCTAAATGAGAATAATCCCTCAAAACGATTATGCCTAAGATCAATGTACTCTAGGGAATT